ATATATTTTTTTTTTTTTCAACCTAGTTTTTGGCAATGGCCGATTTTGCAAGAAGTATCTTTCTAATTAATGTGGGACATTTCCCCCACCAGCCAATAATTCAGGGACAGCCCCTCCACAGCACACGTGTCAACATTCATTCACTCACTTGTAGCGGCGTCCCCCGCGCACCTGCTCGCCCAGCTGGCTAATCACACACGGTCACGTGGACACACGCATGCGCAGTTCCACTTAAGTGGCAGCGTCCCGCCCTCTCCCTAGCAATCACCGCCGGTATCTGCAGCGCAGCAGGGCCAGACAAACTGTCTCCACAACTCTCGCGCTGAGCTGCGGATGATGGATAGGCGAGCACTCGGGAACCCGCAGAGCCCAGCGTGTAGGGCAGGATTCCTGATTCTGCTGTGATTGTTCACACCACGACAGGGAGACCTGCCTGCCTCCCACTCTTTCTGTCACATGCACCAAAGCACAGTCACGCTGGCAGATTCCACTCTTCACAGAGTGAGTTTTCCTACGCCCCCACAAAATACTTCTGCAGCATGGCAGCTGCAGCAGGGACCGGGAGCCCTGGTCACAGCAGCCTGGCATCACCGGGCCGGCCCAGGAGGCTCTGGAACACGAGCAGTGGGCAAAGATCCCCTAGCAGGCCAGCTCCTCCCTCCTGAGCTTGGTGGCTCTGCTGTCAGTACCTCCGTCCCAGCTGGCCCTGCTTCTCCACCTGATGTGGGCCTGGGTGTGAGGCTGGCAGAGGGGCTGGCTAAGGTGCCTCTGTGAGATGCCCCCTGAACTTGGTACCCTGTGGGGTCTTGGAGAGGGCTACAGAGCTCCAGTGAGGGGAGTAGGAAGTCTCTGTGCCAGCTCCCAGCGGACCAGAGTGGCTGAGCAGTGCAGCTGCCACCCTCCACCCCCATCCAGCCACCACAGTCTGACACTGCCAGGCACTGATGTGGCTTCTGAGAATAGCAATGCCCCAGTGCCCCTGCAGGGTGGTAGGAGCCCACCCACGGCCCCCGCTGGCAGCGGCCTCATCGACTCTTGTGCTCTCCTCACCAGCACTGCAGTCTATGAACGCAGGGAGAGGTCAAGCACCCCGTACCCCTCTGCCTCCAAGTGTCCACCCTTCCAGGCCTCTCCAAGGTCAGGAGCTGTGCCCCAGTGATCTCTGAGGCCTCTGTGCTGAAAAGGCATGATGAGCCCCCGACTTGAAATGCACCTAAGACACTGCCGGGTTCTGCCATCCATGGATTCAGATCCTGGAATCCGCAAGTCCACATCTCCCTGGGGTTGGAGTACACAGCCAAGGCAGACTGCTCACCACCTCCCTCTGTGAAAGCCAGCCCGGAACTGGCAGCAGCTGTGGGTGTTTGATGATGACAGGCAGACGGACAGGACCCTCTGTGCACAGTCTGACAGAACCCACAGACTGTGGCGCACCCTGAACCATGGTCC